GCTGCGGCGCGTCCACCCGCCCCCACTGTCCCAAGGCCCTGGTGCTGCCGGCCTTGTCCCCAGCCTGCCCGCCGCCCACCCGGCTCGACTCCGGCCCGCGCGGCGCATGCGCTCCGTCCCCCTCTTAAAGGGCCAGCGCATTCCGGGCCGGTCCTCCCCCTCCCGCAGCCATCCTTGTGCCCGGAGTTATCTCAAGGATGCTGACCAGCGTTCGCTTTCTTCTCACCTCTCTCCCGGCACAGCTAAGCCAGTGCGGAGCTGGAAGGAAGTTACAACGTGCCAAACTGAGCGCAAACTCCACCGACACTCCTAGCGCGGAAGGAATTTCTGCAGTTCGGGATTTCCTGAAGGGAGACCTCGCTGCGGATACGAGAGAGAGCACTGGACTGGAAGACGGAGGATCTAGACCGGGTTCACTGCTTGGTCTGCTGTGGAACCTTCAACAATTCACTTACCTCTGTGGGCCTCAGTTTCCCCATCCATCAGCCGATGTGGTCAGTCCCTGCTGGGGCACGCGTTCCTTAAGAGAGGACACCTAGGGGTTGAAGGTTACTACCTCTGAAAACAAAAGGGTTAAAAGTCATTCTTCTGCACCAGACGACCTGCGTCGGTGGGAGTGGGGTGTGCAGCTTCGCTCCTAGTCAGCAACTTCGCTCCTAGTCCGCCTCCCCAGACCAGGCTTCCCCCGGCCGACGGCAGACGTGGATGGGCGGGAGGGATGCTCTTCCCCAGGGCCTGGGATCACGCCATCCGGGTGGGAGCAATGGTTGGGGAGAATCAGCCAGCCCAAGGGAAGGTGGGATCACAGCAATTTTGTGGCGCCTCTGAACTGCAGAGATTTAAGGCACCCTCCTCCTCTCTCATTCCATAGAGCCTTAACATAGGTTGGGGGGGGGGAGAGCTTGCTCTTAACATTGACAGAAGCAGAGAACTTTACTCAAAATCAAAAGCGGTAAGACTCCTCCTTGCTTCCCTGCCGGTACTGTGACAGTCAGGATTCCTTAGGTCTTCAGTGACTGCATTCCCCAACAAGCTGAGGTTTCTTCACCAGGGCTGGTACAGAGATCCCCAGTGTTTCTCCACCTGTTCCTTAAAGTTGTTCCTGCTGTCTGAACTTCCTGGGTCTCCTGAGCTCCAATAGCAACCTTTTCTGCCTGCAGGATCACAACTCAAGGGTGAGCAGCAATGGGGAGCGTCATAGGACTCCCAGCCTCCCGTGAAGCCTGGATCCTCCTGAGCACACCGAGACAGGAAGACTCCAAGCAAGTAGGAATACCTAGGGATGGGCAAAGGGGGGGGGGGAATCAAGTCTAGAAAGTATTTCTCCAACTTCACTCAACTAGGAAGTGGCAGAGTTAGAATTTGGACTGAAGTCCTAAATTCTTCAGACACTTAATTTTCACCCTTCACTTTGCCTCTTAAATTAGGGAGTGGTTGTGGTGGTTTAAAAATATGCTTACAGGGCCAGCAGGTGGCACGATGATTAAGGTGCTGGACTCCCACGTGGTCGACTGCAGTTTGAGTCCCAGACCTGGAGGCTTCAAAATCACATGGAGCGTGAGTGTGCATGCCCAAAATCCCAAGAGAAAAATGGGAGAGAAGAGATTACAGCATGGCTGTCCTCTTGGGTGATGGTTTCTCATTTTCTCTATCTCTGTCTCTCTTCAGTGAGCACATGTGCCCTATGACAAAACAAAACAAACAAAAAGCTCGCATGTTCTTGACTGCTCCTTTCAAAAGATGGGGTCTAGAAGGCTAGCGGGTGGCATAGTGGTTAAGGCACTGGACATCTACATGGTTGACAGTGGTTTGAGTCCTGGACCCAATGGCTTGAAAATTACACCAGACATCTGTATGTATGTGGGTGCCCAAAATCCCAAGAGGAGAATTGGAAGAGAAGGACTTGCAGTGTGGCTATCCTGGGTGGATGATTTCTCACTTTCTCTCTGTCTCTCTCCAGTGAGTGCATGTGCCCTATGGCAAAAGCCTAAAAATAAGTAAATAAATAAATAAATGATGAAGTCTAGTTTCCCTCCTCTTAAATGTAGACTGGACTAAGCGGCTCACTTCTACTGAATAGAATGAGGAGGAGGTGATGCTATGTGATTCTCTAGGCTGGGTTATAAAGAGATGACTTCCTCTCTTTCTCAGATGAAACTAGCCACCATGTTGTGAGGAAGCCCAAGCCACATGAAGAGGCATTTAAGAGTGTTCTCGCTATCTCTGTCCTGTGCTGGACTCCCACGTGGTCGACTGCAGTTTGAGTCCCAGACCTGGAGGCTTCAAAATCACATGGAGCGTGAGTGTGCATGCCCAAAATCCCAAGAGAAAAATGGGAGAGAAGAGATTACAGCATGGCTGTCCTCTTGGGTGATGGTTTCTCATTTTCTCTATCTCTGTCTCTCTTCAGTGAGCACATGTGCCCTATGACAAAACAAAACAAACAAAAAGCTCACATGTTCTTGACTGCTCCTTTCAAAAGATGGGGTCTAGAAGGCTAGCGGGTGGCATAGTGGTTAAGGCACTGGACATCTACATGGTTGACAGTGGTTTGAGTCCTGGACCCAATGGCTTGAAAATTACACCAGACATCTGTATGTATGTGGGTGCCCAAAATCCCAAGAGGAGAATTGGAAGAGAAGGACTTGCAGTGTGGCTATCCTGGGTGGATGATTTCTCACTTTCTCTCTGTCTCTCTCCAGTGAGTGCATGTGCCCTATGGCAAAAGCCTAAAAATAAGTAAATAAATAAATAAATGATGAAGTCTAGTTTCCCTCCTCTTAAATGTAGACTGGACTAAGCGGCTCACTTCTACTGAATAGAATGAGGAGGAGGTGATGCTATGTGATTCTCTAGGCTGGGTTATAAAGAGATGACTTCCTCTCTTTCTCAGATGAAACTAGCCACCATGTTGTGAGGAAGCCCAAGCCACATGAAGAGGCATTTAAGAGTGTTCTCGCTATCTCTGTCCTGACAGTGCCTGTCAGCCAACAACCAGAATTATTTCCAGATAGGCAGTGAACTGAGACTTTCCATGATCCTAGTCCCCAGTTTTTGAGTCTTACAGATGAGGTCCCAGTCATAGAGCAGAGACAAGTCAGCCTCACTGTGCCCTGTCTGAATTTTTCTCTCACAAAGATTGGGAGATAGTGAGTAATTCTTGTTTTAAGTTGGTAAGTTCTGGAGTAATTTGTTATGTAGCATTAGATAACTAGCATGCTGATTTTCCTAAAATGCCATGTAATAAAATAGATTTTGAGTATTCACTCAAACAGTCAAACAGGAAGTACATCTGAGTACTTTCTGTGTATCTAGCTCTGAATAAGGCACTGGGGATTTGGTTGTGAAGGAGGGGGCTGTGTGGTCTCTGCCCTAGTACGGCTCATCAGGTGTACAGCGGGGAGACAGGAGGACACAGTTCCCATGGTTCTCTGCCAGAGGGTTAACAGGAAGCTGTGGGAGTGCATACCCAGGGCAATTTTCTGGTCCTGTGGGGAGTTGGGCACAGGGCCCACATGGTCTAGGCTAGAGAATTTTCTGGCACATGTGGAGAGAAGTGGGAGGAGATCTGCATGAGGTAAGGGGGAGGGGCTTGCAAATAGATAAGAAAATGGTGAAACTGGAAAAATGTGTCTAATTTAATCTCATTTTAGCCACAAGCCCAGAGAGGATAGGTATCTTGCCCGGTGTCACACAGCTTGTGAACTGGGTCCAGATTCTGGGTCCTTCATCAGACCTTTCCATGACTCTCCCACCCCACACCCAGAGAACAGCACCTCTAACAGACACTTGAGTAACTCCTTCTTAGCTGCAAAGCTTTTATAACTATTATTTATTTTGCTGTCTTCACAAAAACTCTGAAAGAGGTTGGGATACATACAAATCCCATTATACAGGTCAAGAAATGATGCACAAGAGAAGCTAGGGGGAACCAGCAGTTAGCGTAATGGCTATGTCGCTGAACTCCCACGTAGTTGACCACGGTTTGAGTCCCGGACCCGGTGGCTTAAAACTCACGCTGGGCGCATGTGTGTGCATGCCCAAGATCCCAAGAGGAGAATGGAGGAGAAGGGATTGTGGCGTGGCCATCCCCCCGGGGGGTGATCTCTCGCTTTCTGTCTCTCTGTCTCTCTCTGTCAGGTGAGCGCACACACTCTATAGTGAAAATCTCTCCAAAAAAAAAAAAAAAAAAAGAGAAGCTAGGTTAATTATATATCCAGTCCAGGGACTGGCACATCAGTGCTCTGGGTTCGAGTGACTTTGATGATAGCAAGGATGATGACAATGATGTGTAGCTCATAACACATAATCACTGTTGTGATCGCCACACCCTGGACTAATGGTCTGGAAATGAATGCACAGCGTCTTATGGCATCGATACTCATACTAATCTGTTCTGGCTCATTTTCTATTCATGTGACACTGAAGCCTGAGTCAGACTTCCAGGGAAGAGAGTCTGGCTGACGTAGTTGGGTCCTGGGCCGTCCCTTGTCTGGAGGAAGGCGACGCAGCTTCATTAACCCACCAAGACTGTCTGTGGTCAGGGCATGAGTTGCCCTAAAAATAGATGGGGTGATGTTAATAAAGGAGAGGCATGAAGGCACTCAGATATAGATACGTTTACAGTGTTTATAGTGTTACTCAGCAGGTGGCCTGGTGGCTAAGGTGGCTGGAGCTAACATAGCCAACTACACAGGTTTG